ATAATTTTGGGGTCCCTTTGGGGTATAGCCATCCCTCAGTAAATTAAAAACAAAACATGGAAGCCACAAGCCACTTTATTTTCTTACCTCTGGATGTCTTGCCTTTGCAGCAGGTCTCCATTTAATGGATTTTCATCTTGAGCATGGTCCTGCATAACAGAGCGAGTAGAAGATAGAGAAGGAATGAACATATGATTTCACATCTGAAAATACTGCCCTGAAACTACAGGTTTGCTAATACTAAAATCAGGAAATAGTCTTCCTCTGTGTTGGCTGCAGTCGTTTTCAAAACGGACATAAGAACTCCTATTAAGAATTTAACTTAAAAATGCTTAGATCACCTACTCATATGAAAGCATTGCTCAGACATCACCATACTTAAAAAACAAAAGAAAACACCACACCAACCCCAAATAACCCAAAATCCAGTAGCTTAGCTCTAAGAAGTTGTCATTCTTTGAAAAGCAAAAATTGAGAGGTTTTCATCTTCCATTTAAAAAAAGTTATCAGTCTTTTCTTGTTCCTTCTCTGCCCAAATATATAAAGACTTTTAAATTGAAATGTTTCAGTAAACATTTATTTCTACAAGTTACTTTTATGACAGAACAGTTTATCCCTTGAGTCTGCCAGACTGCTTTAAATTGTGCATACAAACAGCCTCACTGAGGTTAGCAGGACATTGGGCTCACTTTGTTAGCAGTGTTTGCATCAGATCCTCACCTGTGATGAGCTCCCATTCATATCCCTGCTCTTCACGTTCTCTTCCTACTACCATTCCCTCTAGCCAAAGTTGTTATGAATTTAACACTTGTTACTGTGGCTTCACCATGGCCTAGATGCCTTTCAAGCAAATTGTCAACATAACGTACACACTGCATCAACTACCATGCAAAACCCAAATAAGAGTATCTAAAAACAGAAAAAAAGTATACTTGCCTAAGGTAGAACACATTTGAAAATACTGACTAATGTAATTAAAAACAGTAATAACAAAAGTACTAGCTGGGCTTGAAACAATGCTGACTTATCATTGCCCATTGATCACATTTCCCTGTATTTCATCTGGCAATTTTTCCTCCTCCTCAAGACTTTCCCACCACGACTCATTAGATTCAATTTCTTAGTTAAAAGGAGAAAAACAAAAAACAAAAAACCCAAACCCATAGTTTTTCTGTATTACCCCACATTTGAAAACTTGGTACCTTTTTATTTCCTATATTGAGCAGTTACCAGAATCAAGATGAAATTATATTTAAAAAGAAAAAAAAAGAAAAAAGGTGGTTTTTATATTTGTTCTTCACAACCAAAGCTGCTGGTCTAAGCGTTATTTCAACAGTGTCATGCCCAGTATTCCTTACAGATAGTATTTTAGTTTGTTCTTTCTAGCAGCATTCACAATACAATCTGCAATCTTCAGTTATTTATGTAGCTGTTACTCTATTCTATAGCGCTATCTGAAGATACAAAAATTGTATAGAAGTTACAGCGTGCCATCAGAATTTACAAGTTACTGAAAAATACTTAACATATTTCCAGAGAGAGGTGAAAACAAACGTTAACAGAACGCCTCCCACGTTCCAGGTAATGTGCTTTATCCCCACCTAGTGGAAAAAGCACAGACTAAACCTGAGGCAGACAACTGCTGCACATAGGCCTGTCCCTGTAAGCTGGGAGAGTGGCAAGAGAGCAGCAGGTCTGTAGAGACACATTCAGAGTCCTGGAGACAGACACTGCATCTTTTATCAGGTAAAGCAGTAAGCAAACACTAGACATTTTTTAAAAAACGTAATCCATTTTATTTCTATTAACGTATCTTAATTTCCTTTTTGAGATCCTAAGTACATCTACATTACACAGTGAGTCCCTCACAACAGACCCTTGCCCCAGAATGTCCCAGAATGGCAGGGAAGAGCACTAAAAGAGGTATAGCAAGATTCTGGAAACCTTGTTACAAAAAAACACTTTCCTGACAAGGTTCATGCAATTACCCTCCTGGGCTAGAGCTCCTTGAGGTTCATGATAGCTTTTAAAACAACAGAATGCTTATATTAAAACAAACCCAAACAAACCCAAATAAACCACACCTTGCCCAAACTTTTTAACAAGTCCAGTCCAAGACAAATCGCCGTACAGAACACTTCAATCTGATCAGCTACTTAGAAGAAATTGTAAAGCTTTATTTTCTGTTGTTACATGGACAATGACTGGGAAATCTCACCTATGTAAGTGTGCTACTTCCAGAAGCAACCCAGCCTATGACAGTATGTAAGTTTAATTTTACTAGGATGTTCATCTTTCCCTCAATTACAGATGTTATATCCCTTTGTTTACCCTTTATTTTGCTGGAACAAGGGATTTAAAGCTATGCTGTAACAGACAAATCTATTAATACAAAAATTCCTTAAAAATAAAGGTACCTTCTGCTTGGATTTTTGCAACTCCATTCTGAGACTGTTGCACTCTTGCCTGAGCTTTTCTAGATCCTGTTCCAGACTATGCACTTTCAGGTCACTGCTCAGCTTCTCTATTTCCCATCTGGACTGAGTACAACTCAGATTTTTCATCACTGTAAGAAGACAAGCAAGACAATCAGATTTCAATCTCAGGTCAAGAAATTTAACTCAATATTTGAGGTTTGTTTTAACCACCCCGTGCCCTAAAAAATAATTGCCCTGTACAGAAACTGCAGTCTTATGACGGAGAAATACTAACACTGGTAAAGCTCTTGGCAGAGAATTAGTATCTATTCTGAGTTTAAAGCAGGGAGCCCTACCCTTCCAAGAACACACTGGAGGTTTCACACGCAGAAAAAGGAAGTAATAGCATAAATGGCACTGGAAATACAAAAATCTGTTAAAGGCAAACGCGCATGGTAGAGACACCAACTTGTTACACACTCTGAAAACACGAGCCTTTTCCTCCCTCAGATTTACATCCCTACAGAATTTCCCCTAAGTTTTCCTCAAGTTTAATATAAAGTTCCAAAGAGAACTACAAAATCAAAACAAAAGGGTAGAATCTAGAGATTATGCAAGTCTTCTTAGACAGAATACATTCATGTGGTGTCCGTTAAGAATCAACCTAAGACCACCCTAGCATCAAATCAGTAGGAGGCAGCTACTCGAACAGCAAGAAAAGAAAGAACACGACAGGAAGACAACCCCCAAGTCTTCAGATGCATGGCACGCTCACCTTCAAATTGAACGATTTAAACAAATTTAAGCTACAGTGATTTTCTTAAACACGGTACTGAGAGGCCACTCATGAGAAAAGTTGATTACTAAATAAGGCTTCAAATTGCCACATTCTCAGAGGTCTATTTATGAACTCTGCACTTCTTACCTCCTTAAACCATCGTGTCCTCAACAATGATACATTACTACATGTGGTTTGTTCTTCTAGGTTTAAAACTCGTGCAACTGAAGTAGTGCATTAGATGCTTGAGGTCCTCTTGGACAGTAATCCAATTCAAGCTCAGCAATACTTTTCAGCACCCTTCAAATGACTGCATTCGTACAGAATCTGAAGTCCAGTCTGCATCTCTAACTTTATACAGATGGCACTTTCTTCTTCTCTTTTCTTGTAACAGTACGTTAATTTTTTTTCTTCCATAGTGTTTTGTTTTACCTATCATCTATCTACACAGCACTCTTCACAATGGCAGTAACAGAAGCCGGGTTTGGGCTTTTGGAATTACCAGAGTACACATTTTGCTTCTTTTTTTGCTCTTTCCACACAGGCTGTCTACAACCAGCATCCTTCTACCTTTCCTCACTCCCTAACCCTTTAAATAGCTGTTGTCCACTGTCCATTGCAGCTATTGCCATGCAACATCCTCTTGTACCTGTCAGATCTCATCAGTGAAACAAAGCAATATGCTAGATCATCTGTAGGTACAAGAGAGAGCAGCATCAACTGGATAGTGCTTGATACTTTGGTCCCACCTCACCCTAAGGAAAAGGTGGTGGGGTCCAGAGATGGACACGACTAGCCTGTAAACTGTCAGGTTGTGCATATTTCTCAAATTATTCAATAGTCTACAGTAGTAAAACAGGATAGCCTCAGACCTCTATCATGGAGCTTCTCCATCTAGGATAGTAAAATGTGCCTGCCACCATTTACAAGAATGAACACAAACACAAGCTCCAGGTACCTCTCTCCAGTGCACTCCTGCCTCACCTACCCACTGCATAGGGTTAAAGCTCTTCATGCCCCAAGATCATACTATAACCACTAAGACTAGGCAACCTATGTTCAGATGAAGTAACCAAATGCATACCTTGCTGAGTTTCCACTTCGGTTCTTAGCTGTAACAACTCTACTTCTTTAGACTGCAACTGCTCGTTCAAGGTTTTAAAGGATTCTGCACTTTCTTTCACCTATTTTCAAGGGGGGAAGCCATTTGTGAAGCTTTTTTCTAACATATCTGACAATTCAATTAAAAAAAAAAAACAAAAACAAAAACAAACAACCAAAACCAAACCAACAAACCAACTCACAAGCAACAAAATAAAGAAACTTTTTTTAGCATTAGCCTAGCCCAGTAATAAAACTTATTCCTATGTGAAGTATCATTATGTACTTTAAAAATCTAAAGGAACTATAAAACAAACACCACAGATGTTCATCAAATAAAATTAACTCTCCAGTGAACGTTTACCAGCTAGGCAGTACTCGGATACGAGGGACGTCAGGCAGTGCTGTAAAAGGCATGCCTACCACTTTATCCAGCTTGCTCTTCAGGTTGTCCCGGTCTATGCAGGCCTCCCGGTAGGCGTGGTACGCCCGGTTCACCTGCTGGCGCCCCACCGCGCTGCTCTCCTCCTCCCGCCGCCAGCCCAGCACCTGCCAGCGCAACAAACCGTTCTGTGGTGGACTGAGAACTGGGAAACCTTCACACTGCAGCAGCAGTCTGCAACATTACACTAACGGATTCTTTTTTTAATTTAGAAAATAAATCAATAATTATATTGCTACAGACCACAATTTTTTACAGAAGTGCAACAAAAGCTGCCTATAAATTCTGCAGTCTCTAACCATGCTTGCTCGCTCGCTTACTGCTATGGGCATGTAAAAACCATGTACAAGTCATGATTACTCACACTGACAAACCCTTAATCATATTTTTTTCAGGCTCTGAAGATGTACAAATTGCTTTCTGGAAAAAGTTTTAAGCATATAAAGGCACAGAAAATTAAGAGGAAAATGAACATAATATTTTTAATGGCTCATAATTTAAACAAACTTTTTTCAGTGTATTTATGTGAGAACAGCCAAAGCAGAATTATTTTACAAATAACTAACTTCCAGGTCACCACCATCTTACGGCCTGCTAAAGCAAGAGACATGCAAGGGAGAACAAGCACTATCAACTAGATGGTCAAAAAGAGAGAAGCAGAGTTAAAATATATTCAGTACTGCTAATCAGACAGTAAGAAGAGAAGTCTTACCTCAAAGTTTTTCTGTCCATATAGAAAGCTCTTGTTTTGACTAAAGACTGCATTATCCTTTTAATTCTGTTTATCCTGCACACTTGCTTTAAATTGTTGAGGGATTTAAACACATTTAATGTACCTAATGTAGACACTAGTGACAGATTTATGTATTTTTTCTTAAAAATTAAGAGCTGTGCAAAGAAATTACAAAAATTAAAGAGGTGACAGTTATGTATCTGACAGTTATCAGAGAAGACAGTTATGTTCAGTATATATATTCTGATATTTAATATCTCCTCTTTTAGGTACTCACTCAAAAGAAAGCATGGGAAAGCAAGCCATAAAGATAGGAAGCTTATGCCCTTTAGCTTTTTTTCTATTGATCCTCAAAGTATGTGTACTACATTTAAAGTTTTGTCCTTTACATTTTCCTCCCCTAAATAAAGCCATTCAGATAGAACATATACCTTATCAAACTTTCTGAAGTTTCTAGGAACTTTGAAATTTAAAAATCAAAAGGGCTAACTCCCCATGTATTTTTTTTAATCTTACAGGTGTACTGGTAATTAACAAAGGCTGAATGTTAGTTCTGTTACTTAACAGTCTGGGCCTTCTCAATGGCCCTCGCTCATAGAAACATATATAGTATTCACACACTAAATGAAAAGTTTTCTCTATGGAAAACAAAGTATCTTCAAGACAATAAAGCTGAACAAGGCGAAACCAAAAGACACAAGACTTTAAAAGAGATTGCCAAGGTCAAGTCCTGTTTATAGTGACTTTGAGTAACCACATAGAAGATGTTACACTTAGCATGGTTCACAGAATATTCAGTCTAGAAGTCTATTCCCATCCCCATCACCTCCCCAGGAACTTACATAAAGAAAGTGATGACAAAGTTTTGCCTTTTGACAGAAAGTCAATCCTGTCAAACTAGTTACCAAGAATTCCTGAATAAGTGTTTCAAAATTGTACTGAGTGACTCAAGCTCTTTGTTTCAATGCCACAAAATAATGCATATTTTTAAGCTTTTAAGAGTCAGCAGCACACACTTAGGACTAAGTTCTCACTTAGGATCTATCTTTCCATCTTATATTAATAAGAAAGCAATCTTTCAAAGTCAAGACCTTATGCACTACCAAGACACTCACTACAGGATGAGGGATATGCATTTAATGACAGCATTCCTTACTCAGGGAGAAAAGCCTGTGCCATGGTCAATTTTCAGCTTTCACAAACTTCACTAGACTAAAGCCATGAGAAACTGCATATAAAATAAATTCTTAGATTCCTTCATGTTTTAGAATTACTGCATCAAAAACAGAGCTGTTGGCTGGCTATGTTAGGCATTGCAGCTTCGTATTTTGTGTTTGTGACTGATAGTAGCTAGAGCTAGCCAGATACGCTTAACAAGCAGCTTGTCCTTATCATTTCAGTATCCTGAGCCCAAGAGATTTTTTTGACAGAGAACCCTGGATTCTGACCATTTATAGGCTTTGCACCTCACTATTCAACACCACCAAATCACATTTTAATAAACACCACGAAGAGGCAGATGAAATATAGTAACAATCCAATACAGCTACATGTCTTTCTGAATCAAAGCTGGTGTCTTGGCAGGGCACTACTGCACTGCATTGCACCCCATAGGTCCCAAGGAAGAATCAGAAACCCCAGTATGATATAACTAGACTACCAGAGGAACAAACTGTGTGTCACTTAATTTGCCAAAACTTTTTCACTTTGAAATTTTAAGTACATATTTGAAATACTTAACCATCTGCTCTGCTATCCAGCCAGGAGCAAAAATCAGCTGCTACAAGAAGTTGGTAAATCTATTTTTTTATTACCTTCTCCTCTAGAATTCTCACTCTTTTTTTTAAGAGAGAGTTCTCCTTCTCTGTCTCCTTTAGTCGTTTCTTGATATCTTCATACGCCGTGACAAGCGCAAAGTGTGAGGCAACAGACTCGTCCCCGCTGTAGGAGGGAACAGGAATCTCCCCGTCCCTCTTGTGAGCGCTGTCTGCTTTCTCATGGTTCAAAATACAGATGTCATCTTCTACCAGCTCCTCCATGACAGCTGCTGAAAAGACAGAGATGAGGGCAAAATTTCAAAGTCAAATTCAGCAAGAGTCTCAACTCTGAATACCTTCCAAGATAATACTGCAGGGTGTTTCTAAGTATGACAAGACTGAATAATTAGGAAATATCTTAATCTTGCCAAAAAATCTTGAAATCCATTTTACATTGAAAATACGCTGGTTAGGAAAGAAGCATCTTTCACTGTTACTGATAAAAATATTTTGGGCATGCATCAGATTTATGAACCCCCAAACTAATTTTTATTAAGGCTTAACACCATCCTACAATGTGGCTGGTACCTGAAATGCTGGGGTTTGAACCCCGAGCCCCCGAATTAAGGTTGACATATGGGTGATTCCCACAGCCCTTCATACAGAGGTGGTGAGTTTGCCTTATAGCTTCCCCCCAGGGTGCGGCCGGCCCTGCAGGGAGAGCCATAAGGGAAATGAGCCCCAGGGGTCCTGCACTGAGTTGACAAAGGTCAGGTGTCTGCTTGGGGATAAAAGCTGGGACCACTTGCAGGGAGTCAGGAGTGTCTGTCTGTGGAGTGCACTCCACAGAGCTTCCTGGCTCAGGGAAGACCTCCTGACTCTCCCTGGAGCTGGTCCCCAGTCCATTTGGACCTTTGTGAACACGGGCTGATCGGGTGAGAGTCACCAGGTGAGCACCTTTTTCTTATACATTTAACTTGGTGATCTGGCTGTTTCCCATGCCAACTATGGGCAACCTCGGGTCACTGTTTATAACACCTGTTGTGGGCTGAGTCACATCTTTTGTGGGATCGTTGGGGGTGGCGTCGATTATATACGTATATACGATTATATACGGGCTGGTTGCCTTGTTTGTAACCCCAGCGGTCATTCGTTTTTGCTTACAATACAGTCTGTGTATTGTTTTCTCTTCCTGCTGGTTGTATCATTCTTGTTGGGCCTGGTCATTGGCAGAACAGTATCCAATATCTAACTCCAAAGGAATATTGTATTAGAGTTTTTTCAAGCCAGCACCGAGCAGTAAAAGAAATTATAACTGCAAGAAATCTATTAACTGCTGTGGTTCCTGAGCACAAGTGCCAAATTCTCTTAATTCTTGAATGCAAATATTGATACTATTGAGAATAACTGATGTGATCAGCAGAACTTTGCAGGAAAAGCAGGCATCTGCTGTAGGAAAACCCACAGCCACAAATATCCCAAAATTTAAAACGGAATATTAAGATACAGTTGCATTAGTTCTTAAAGAGTAGCTGTTCTTTACCTGGTCACAAAAGAAAACATCTTGCTGAACAACAATTACAGTAATTCTTGATTGCAAATATGAGAATGAAAACATACTCAGTAATGTGACCTGCTTCAACATGTATGGAGAAAATTGGCCATAATCTGGCCATATCAGCCTAAAATGAGGCAAATCTACCTGAATGACAAATGCAAAGTGACTATTTAGATTGATGGTTTGTTACAACACACATAATTTAAGCACAGCAAAATATTCAGTAAGAAAATAGCACCTTTAAAAAACTCCATATATTTTCTTGAATTCCAGGTCTTAAGGGAAAAGCCCAACAGCATTTTCCTTAATTTTAATAGTTATCACAAACAAATTCAGAGGGTTGATTTAAAAACAAACCCTAAACAGAAAATAAAGACACAGCTCATTCTTATTTAGCTGTAAAGCTTGAGATACCTTGCGTTTGTACGTGGCACTAATAAGTGCACAGTACCCGATGACACTCCTCCAACCCTTAAAAAAACTACCGATGCTACTTCTGCCAAAAGCCTACTTTTAGTTTTAACCTTGAACAAATCCTTAGGTTCCTAATGATTAGCTAATGAACCAAAAGAAATGCTGGAATGAAAGAGATGATCATAATGAAGTCAGTTTGTATTGTAGGAAAAAAGTGACTTCAACAGAAAACTGATGTGATCAGCAGAACTTTGCAGGAAAAGCAGGCATCTGCTGTAGGAAAACCCACAGCCACAACCACTGCCTCCACTGTGTACTTGCTATTTAAATTCCAACTAGACTTCCATTTGGTTAGTGACACTGAGAGGAAAAGGGATTAACTGCCCTGGAGCTTATTATCTATGTGGTCATATTTCTCACGGAAGAGCTCCATGGGCAGCAGCGTGATGAAGAGCTGCAGTACAGCTACAGCTGAACAATGGTGCTGTTACCACATTTGTCTCAATTTGCTCCAAGCTAGTTAGACAACATGATAAAACACTATGACAGCTGGTTTATACTAAATAGACATCAATGGAGTAGCAACAGTGAAAAAAGAATAAAAAACCTCAAAACAACCACAACAAAAAAACAAACCCACAAACCAAACCTGAAGTTTGTTCAATGGTTATCTTCAGGAGGCAAATAGATGCCTTGTGTACTGCTTAATGCATTCTAACAAAACATAAGCCAGTTTCCCTTGCCTGTTGCTCTGCCTCATACTGATGAAGAAAGTCTTGCAAAAAGGGTTTGCTTCCTTTTCATTGTCAGACTAATGTCACTCCATGCACAAGGTGACCTCGACCAAAAGCAGTACACCATTCAACCTGCATTAACTGACAGAAGGAATTGCTCCTTTTGTCTTCCAAGATGCACATAACACACCAGTTTTTCCTCCCGTTTCACCAAGGGCCCTGCAAGTCTTGTCACCCATGTCATCAAATTCCAAGAGCTTGCTTTCTCAAAGCAACACATCTCTTTTCTCTGAACACTAGATTCAAATGTCATTAAAGTGTCACAGCTTATCATTATCTCTTGAAGAAAGCAGCGGATTGAGTGACCTTGTACCTAAAATACGTCTTTATCCCTACACTGTCCTACAGCTCCTGAACTCGAGCATCGTACGTTCCCTATGTCTGGCACACATCGGTTTCACCAGGAGACAGAAACACGGGGTAACAGGAGATAACCTCAGAAGATGGACCATATTTATTCTGTATTTTGCTGACTAAAATTTACTGCCTTTGGGAGCTTCCAAAAGAGCAAGAATTTCCAAACAAGACTCAGCATACATGAGTATGATTTTATAAATTCAGGTACACACTTAACCTGAGTACTCCACTAATACCTCGACTAAGAGGACTAGTTACACTAACATTTTTCTCTTGAAAGATTTCTTTTAGTCTACAGGATTATTCAGCTCTGGCTTTCTGATGCTGCTCCCGCTAAACCAGCACTGGATGCTATTTAGAAATAAACATATAATTCCATGTAATTCAAAGGGGGCTTGTAATAAATATTTTTCTAAATTTCTACACATAATGTAACAGATTCAGAAAGATCCAATATACAGATTTTGGACTAATCTTATTCCATACTTAGTGATGACAAACTGGTTACAAACAGAAGTCTACTTCTCCTGAGGCAGGTGTCCAAGTAACACACCTTCCTCTCAGCTCATTCCTTTAAACAGATCTGATGACCTAATAATTCGGAGAGGAAGTGGCAACACACCTTACACAGCCTCAAGTGAAGTAAGTGGGATATTCAGAAGGAATTGTACAATTTTAAAAATTTGCTTCAATTATTAAAAAAAAAACCTATCATGAAATATGCTTCTCAGCACTGAAAACTCAACAGCCTGTCAAGAAGGGAAAATCACCACAATATTCACACTGGATATGCTTTATTTTTCTCCTTCATTATCTCTATTAACATAAAGTACTAATATTATCCACACCCCCACATATTACAGTGCCACAACCACAAAAAAATGCACTCCTCATTTCAGTTTTCTAAGAAGCATGATTCAAATCACCATTGTCATCATGCCCAACAAAACAAAAACAAAAGACTTGAAACAGATACCACTTTCAAATAAATGGAGATATTTACATAAGCTGATACTTAAATGCCATTGAACACCAATTTGCTCAGAATTTTAAAGCATCAGATAAAGGAAATAAAAGAATAAAGTATTTACATTAAGTTTAGCATAATATCATCTCATTTTTACTGCATATTTCCAAAGTTTCAAATCTCAGTTTGCAGAACTGCACTATAGATATGTTGAAGAAAAGAAGTGCTCTGTATTGGATATGTGCCTGATGACTCAAAAGCAAGTTACACTATACACACCACTAACTGTAGTATACATTAGATGAACATGAGGAAAAAATCACATTAGAAAAATTAGAGCAGCATTGCTAAATATATCTAAATAAAGCAACACAAGCTAAAAAGAAGGGAAAAAAAAAAAAGGGAAAAAATAAAATTAAAAAACCCTCAGTTTATCTCTATGCTGCAAAAGACTTCCTAAGGTATTTCCAAATGAAAATAAAAGCAAAGTTACCTCTCCAGCAGCTGCTAAGCCCACAACAGGCCAGTAAAAGATATAAGCTCATACAAGAATAAAACCTGGCTGTTGAACAATGTAAGATCATCAGTTCTATAAAGGTCACAGTGAAATGCACCTTTCACTGAGCCTTGTTTCATAGTCAGGAAAAAGAAAAAACAAAACAAAGGAAGCATGTTCACATAAGAAGCTCTCTCATTGTATTAAAGCAATAGACAGAAATCCTTAGAAGACAAAACCTTAGAAAATGGGGCTATATCTGCAAGAAATCCCTGACTACAGCTATAGCTTTTAACAGTACTCTTTAAGCACAGGAATCAAGATCTAGTTTCTCCAGTATTGTATTAAATAAAAATATGAACTGTAAGCAACAACCAATGCAGTGCTTTCTGACACAAGAGGTGCATTAGATTATCCCATAAGTTATGACTCCTCAAATCTGGCAGCTCCAGCATGGCTGGCAGGATGGCTCACCGAGTCCAACCATGGACCTCTGCCTGGGTTTTATTCTGTCTGGCTTCTCCAGTGCAAAGCTACACTTGCACACACTGCTGAAAGTGCCCCAGAGCTGTCACTCTGAAGCACCTGAGTGAATTTTGATCTCTCTGGAGTTGCAATTAATGAAATACTCTGTAGTAGAGTAACCATTTAAGTAAAAGATTTCCCACTATGATCTCCCTAATACTTTTGCCTGTG